AATTGTATATATTAAGATGAAATCAAATTCAGAATAAATAATTTCCTTCGTTTAGTTGAAATTCTTATACGACGAGTATTTATACTCATTCAAATTACGATATAATGCGCGAGTAATGTATAATAGCCCATAGAGTGCTTTTCGATTAGTCTGAAAGTTTGAGTCTACTAATCAGATAACGCCACTTATGCTGATCGAACGAATATTCACCAAGAAAAATGAATACTGCTTGAATTTCATCCGGTTCCGGTGGAATTTATTGTTCGGCAAACTTCTGTCTCCTTGTTGCAATTTCCCAATGCGGGTTCGGATCACAATGTAAAGGAAAGAAAATTCTTTCTCTCACTTTAAGTTCAAGGCCTTTGTTCACTGAATTTCCGTTGCTTTACCATAATGCATTAGAAATATCAATTCAATTATCGATGGCTCTCTAAGAATATCCAAGAGAGAAAATTGCAGTTTAACTTTTCTTCTAGATTTACGCAAAGATATGGCTGCTGGTGCTCCCAATAGATTTAACCCAGGAGGCTTAAGGGGTGTAAGGAAACCTCCAACCACTGAAGAGTGGGAGAAATTCTCCGATTTTGAAAAAGATCAGAAAAGAGGAGAGGAATGGATGAGCCGTGTTTATGGATGGAATATCAATGCGGATGCCGATACTTTGCCCAAGTCTAGATGGATCCCGGACAAGATTTTAGGGAAGGGCATTGCGGTCTTCAAGAAGGGGGTTGTCGAACCGGGTGGTCGTATATGTTATGAGAGAGTTGTTGTAAAACACGCATCCAGTCCTGAAGCAAAAGCAAGGCTACAAAATGGTGCGGCCATTCTCGATCACTTACGACAAACTGCTGAATTCGACGCCAATCATATAATTCTACCAACTAGACCATATGAAGAAGACTTGGGTACTGGCGCGGATGATACCTTCGATCCTGCGTATGTTCACGAGTTTGCCCAGGAAACAGTAGGAAGGACATACACAACCTACTATGAACAAGGAAATCTCAATCAGTGGCTAGAAAACAATTTTGGGTAAGTCTTTTGAATTGGTAGTCCTTCTACTCTCTAATGAGTCTTCCTAGCGAACAATATCTTTCAGAGAATGATCTTTGGAGCGTTATGGGCTGTATGGCGAAGATCTGTATGAGACTAGAGCACGGTCATTCGACAGACGCAAATCATCGATTGCGAGATCAATATAAATCAGTTGTTCATCTTGATATAAGACCAGAAAGCAGTAAGCATTTTATTCTGTTTTGAGACAGTCACGGGCATTAAGTCATCTAGTATTTTGTACAATGAACAATGGCCGAGAGGAGCACAGTAACGGCACAAAATTTTTAGTAGGTAAAATTATTCATGTGAAGGAATGGTGCTAATGTGATTATAGCTTGGGAAATTTGAAAAGGCAGCAGTAGTCCCCAGCGATCCTATGGATAAAACATGGATGTTTCGTATTCGAGGACGTGCTGATCCAAAGTGGGCAACTCCGGTTTGTAATTATTACCTTATGACAAGATCCTGCGCTTAAATATTTTTAGGAGCAAAAATATCCCGGCATGGAGGGACGTAGCATTGGTACACCTTGTAATATTTTTGGAATAGGTGCGCTGCTATATTACATGATAACAGGAAGAGAACTCGGGGAAAGTGCCTGGAACATTGGTATATCAGACTCACCTACTGATCAAGGGCTGAAGCTTTATTTTGGTGCAGACCTAATAACAGAGCCTATCGCAACACAACAGGAGTATTCGAAAACGCTGATTCGAACAATTCTACGATGCCTCTCATATCACCCCAAGGATCGAATTGATGCAAAAGAACTCCGAGCATTGAGTGAAAAGGCATTGAACCTCGTTGACAGACAACGTATGCCAGGAGAAGTGCAATATAATCCAGGCGATCCCGCCGTCCTTCTTGAACCACAGGAAGAATTGCAGCCTAATGACTACACTCCCTCAGATCTGAGCCTCAAGCTATACAAGCCGCCCCCAGATCAGCCTGAGACGTTGCGAGCCAGAGCCGATAAGTGGCTTAAACGTTTCTTCCTATTCCCCGACAGCGCGAAGAGTCAACAAGCGAGAGAGAAACAACGATTAGAATATGAGAGACAAGCAGAGGCCGCAGAAGCGGCCAGAAAGCAGGCACTGGCTGATATTGAGGTTGCTGCAGCAGAGGAACTTCGTCTTCAAATTGAAGAGGAAGAAGAAGAGGACCGTAGAATAGCCAGACAACGTGCAGAGAAAAGAGCTAAAATGGTTGCGGAAATAGCACGAAGGAGGGCAGCCGCTAGTGGTGAAGCGGAGAAACAGATACTACTACCTCAACCTGTTCGTAAACGTGATCGATCTCCTGAGTCTGTTGAAGAGAGAAGCCGTAAAAGAGCCCGTTCTGCATCACCTGTTAGAGCCAATACCCCAGACACAGCTGCGGCACAAGGTGGTGTTCAACCAATGGATATTGATAGCAACAAAGACAAGAACATTCCACCACCGGGAGATACGGACAAACCTTCTGGACCTCCACAGTCTCCAGTAGGAGCTCAGCTATACACATTTGCTTTGGACCCAAACATAGATATTGAAGAGGACCCGCGAATACGCGGTGATCCTTCTTTCCAAGTTAATTATGCTGGTATAAATACCGCCGTAGAGAAATTTGACAACAACCCCACTTTTTGGAAGGATCGGGCTTGGTGGAAGGGTAATCTCTTTGAGAAAGCGAATCTTCCGCCAGAGGGCAAAGCCTTTTATGATTTTATCCATAGTACGCATGGGAAGGTACCCCAAGCATTTTCATGGTCAGCTCAAGCATTGGCATTGCGCAAGGGGGCAAAGGAGAATCAGGAACAAGTTGAGAAAGAAAAAGAAAAGAAGAGAAAGGAGGAGGAGGAGAAACAAGAGAAGGAGAAACAAGAAAAGGAGAAACAAGAAAAGGAGAAACAAGAGAAGGAAAGACAAGAGAGGGAAAAGGCCAAAGCCAAAGAGGAAGAGAAATCGAGAGAGCAACGAGCCTACTTGGACGAGTTAACGCGAAGCAATGAGAGAGACAATCAAAGAAAACAACGAATTACGCTGAATAAATGGAATCCACGACGCGATTGGAAAATTGATATTGATCCTGAATACAGAATTAGATTCGGTGATGTGACATATCCTGTTCGAGCTCTGCCGGATCGTGGAGAGGCACCATTTCCGTGGAAAGATTATGCTTGGTGGGAGGGCGCTCTTATGAAGAAGACTGAACTTCCCATTGAGGGCTCGCAATATTATCAAGAATTGGCAGAACAGGGAATACACCTTGTGGCGCATGCAGGAGGCGATACAGAAACAATGCAGGAGTTGGAAAACGTAGCGGAGATGATACGTAAATTCGACGAAAAACATGGCGAAAAAGATGAACATTTGGGGTTAATCAATCCTCCTCTTGGTGGCGCAGCGAGAGGCATAAACGATAATCACAAATCGTCTCGCACTCGTAAACCTCGGGATGCCTTGAGTGGGTTGACCACGAGTTCGCCGGTATATTGGGAAATTTACGATAAACTGGGTCGTGGAGAAGATGCTTCAGATTCCGATGACTCTGTGCAGGAGGTAGCCCCTCCACCAGCAAACGCTCGCCCTCGCACTCCCCCTCGAGATCCTCGTCACATAATCGCATCAGCATTACCAAAAGCACCAAAAGCACCAAAATCATCACAATCATCAAAATCATCAAAATCATTAAAAGCACCCACATACAAACCTGCTGCATGGTTCTGCCCATACTGTAATGAGAAGGCTGGTGGTTATGTGCAAAAACAGTCATGTGAAAGCCATATAAAAAGCAAACACAAGGCGAAAAAAGGACGACCCAAAACCACTCCATTTGTTCGTAAGACCGCCGCTCCAAAAAAGGCATCATACCGACCACCGCCTTACGAACCTTACGAGGTTTAAATTTTGTGTTCAGAGTTCAGGATTTTCGTTTGATTTATATAGTTACTATACTTGCTCAATCCGAAAAAGTTTCTCCGTGTATGGTTTTATACATTTCCATCAATAGTGTTTTGCAATTGATGTAAAGATGCAAATATTGACTTGTCAATGATACAACTCCTTCAATGCAACTTGATTAGCACTTTCTAACTCTCAATTTCATCATGATGCTCGCGCTATTTACCATCAGTGATTCTATACCCATTGTTCATTCTCAACCTAGTAGACACTAGATGATACTCTCCTTTCCAGCCCATACAACCCAATTACACACCTCTCACAACAAATATCCACATAGCCATTAAGACTACTACACAGTCCTCCCACTCACTTCTTAGTATCTACTTAGCCATACGTCAATACCTACTAATGCCCCAATCATCCTGTCCTCTCTACTTCCTCACTTGTATATATCAACTAACTCACCTCTCTATTCCTTTCCAAAACTCTACCTGGATGCTTATTCAAATCGCATTATAAACTCCACCCCATCTAAGTCTACCATGTAGAGTCCACCCACCCTAAATATCTTTCTCGCTACCTAATTCGTGTCGTACATCCATACCACCTGTATTTATTAATTCCATTCTCAGTACTCGATGATATTGAAATGCCGTTGCCCTAACACTAAAGAAAATACCTCTCTTTCGCCATGCTGATAAAAAGAGATACACTCGCCTTGAATATCTGGTAATATATTCTCCCCAATGGTGTTTCCAGTACTAATACTTAACTTCGCGAGAGCATGACCATTATATCTCGTTTTACTGTAGCACGCCAATACATAAATCCAGATGTTGAGAAGAAAAATAGACTGATGCCTGAATCTATACACACTCAGAGTTCCAAAAATCATAGGTTTCTATTCATAAAACTACCAAGGTACAATACCAATTTCGATCCAATCCCACGCCTAAAAGCGAAATCTAGTCTGGTCTAGCAGTACCACAATAGAAAAGATATGGATACGTCCATAAATCCATACATTCCATCGCCACCTTTCTCGTTATCTTCAAATGATCAATGAGGCATCCCCGTGTTCTTAACACAAATTTGAAATAATTCATCCACAAACGTCAGCGGCTCAACATCTTCAGTAACTACCGCTGTAACCCCCCTATTCCCCTGTTTAGCATCAAACCCTCTCCCTTTCCCATTGTCCTTCTTATCTGAGCTAAGCTTCACATCTCTCTCAACTTCCGTACTGACCAAGATTCCCATGGATTGATACGAAGCCGCTCGTATTGGTTTTGGTCTATCACCAGAACCATTTTCGTCTTTAGAGCGGCCGAGACTTACATCCCAGAGGGTTCTCAATCGTTCCATAGTAGGCCGTGATTGCAACTCCCTGCTAGGCCTCATTCTGGTGATGAGGTTTCCGAACGGATCATGTTCCTCCACTACTTCGACTTTGAATTCTTCGCCAGATCTGGCAGGTCTCCATTGTGATAGAAGTCTCTTGTCTTGTGACCTATCACGGAATGTTGCTGCAAATATCGGTGAGAACTCTCGATATATTGCACGCACGAAGAAAGAATGATCTAAAGAGTTTTTGTAAACACGTTGTTGCAATTTAAAAAGGGTGAGTGGCGCGAAGGTGCATTTCTTTCCTGGCGCACGACGAGTATTGATAGGTACCATGAGCCGAAAAGCGATGAGAATTCCTACTCCAGGCCTATGGTTTGCGGAAGCTCCACGGCATGGAGCCTCAATTGGTTTAGATATAAGGCATGCTTCACTGAAAATAGGATCTCCAATTTCGTATTTCAATGATTGGAGCGTGGTAAGCAGTTGATTGGAAAATGTTTTCTCCCTTGTAGGTAATTCTTTTGCCTTGACTGCTTTGGCCAAGAACCTTTGACATTCCGTTACATTGAGGGTATTCATTGCGGTCAAAAAGTCTATCTGCCATTGCTCCAGTGATTCGAAAGGCAAGGTCATAGTTGGGAGCTGACTCTTAGCATCTTTCCTGACAACAATATCAAATCCTCCTCGGACAGAAGCTCGAATTGCGAAGCATGCAAGATGACAACCTGGATCCAAAATCTCATCCTGATTTGCAAACTTCCATAATTCCGACAGATGCTTGGTAAGATTTTCATCCTTAATCTTCATGGTATTTGATAGCAGAGTTAGAACTTGTCCAATCTTCCCAAACCGATATCCCGCTGCCTGTAAAGCCTCTGCCTCACGTCGCTGAACTTTCTTGACAAGAAAGAGTAGTTGACCAGTTCCTGCTCCTGCATCTTTTTCGACGTCTTTTCTCGGCCTTCTAATGGCGCGGCGACCACCTTTAATTTTGTGCTGGATATCCCCAATTGTTTTTTCTATCAAATCACTTACTATAGCGACACGAGATTTAATGATTGCTGACAATCGAATTTTCTGCCCGGTACCAATGACATCGTCGTACAAAGGGCCTAGTTTTTCCATGGGTATACGGAGATCATTCGCAAGATCAGCGGCTGCAATGCAGAAAAGCTCTCGGAACACAATAGAATAATCCTTGATTAAGTCGCCATCGTCATCCACAAGACTAACTTCCTCTCTACCTTTAAGGTTATGCTTTTCAATGTGAGCACTGATATTGAGGCGCATTGCTGGAATGATATCTTTAACGCAATGCCAATTCTTCGCTGCTCTGAATATCCACAGAAATATTGGATGCGAGGTGTTGAAAACCTCAGTTAATGACTAAAATTCATTAGCATTTAGGAACACGAGAGTATAGCATGAGTTCCCTTACGCCCTCGATGAAGGAACTTGTTATTTTTCGATTTGGCAAACAGCCTTGTGGACCAATCAACACATTTCCATGTTTATCGAATATGGCTGCGAACAAAGTGAGCTTCTGAGAACTGTTGATGCTTTCTTGTCTTCGGGTAAAGAGCATTAATTTTAATGTTATGTTGACAAGGGCAGCGACTATGGTCTAAATTAATCAGTATGGGCCGCAGAATCTGCGAAATTCTAACGTACCAAGACTGTAGCGACGATTATCGCAAAATGCTCGGTCGGATTTGAACCTGGTGTTGGGCGACTGTGAAGATGGTAGTGTGTTCCAACAGATGATAACCAATGTAACCCGGATATGGAAAAAGCAAGTAAACAAGCGCAGATACCCTTCTTCGACCAGCATGATGCCCAGGATGAACGCCACAGGAAAAATAGGTAGATAGATCCTACACTGCCTGCAATGCCTATGAATGCGGAAATGAAGACCCATACAATATTATAAAAGCACGCATAGTTCGAGATGCTAGCTTGTCCAAGGTAATGCATACCGCATATTCCAAGTCCAGCTAGAGTCCCACCTAGACCAACACGAGGCAGATCTATCGTTTCGTTGGAGCCAACAGTCCAGAATGCGATGAAAAAAACTATAACGGGTAAGAAGAACGATTCGGAGATGGAAGACTTATTGTATGAAATTTGTAATGTAGGATCGCCTCCACCGAGAATAATTCCCTCTTCGCCAATGAAATGCATACACCAAACAGCAACACCTCCCATTGCTATCGAAGCGAACACGAGAACCGTCCTAACGTCAACTCAATATAATAGACTCCTAAGAGATTGGTAGATTCATACCAATTATAGCGACCCTTTCTTGTTGTCCTCAGATTGAGCAGCTCAAATGCAGTCCAGGCGCCCACCAGGCTGACCAAGAATGATAATAAGATATAGCCAGCGTCATATTTCTTGTCGATAACATGCCCTTGCAAGTCATGCCAGGCCTGAAGGGTACTATTAATGGGTGCCGTGGCGTTGGTCGAGTTGCTAGTGTTGACCATAAATGATATAGTGCACGGTACGTTGTTGAGTAAGAATCAGTGCTACGAAAGCACTTGTTCTGCGCAAAGTGTTTAAGTGGTCGAATATCGAGGTATGGCGATATTGCCGTCATTTGAATTGTGACTTGCTCTGTATCGATCAATATCCTCTCATCACAGAGCTTGAGATGTCGTCCGAGACGGCGAGCTATCCCCGAGAGTGTCAATGTGCTTTGGTTTCTTAATTAGAACCAAGTCCAGGGCTGAATATGTGAAAGGGGTGGGCTAGTAGGTGAAGACTTGTAGGTGGTCGTCAAGGGGAAATTTGGTTCGGAATATAAACCAGCAGTTAATTTCGGTTCCACGTTCTGTTCAAGAGTGAGTATCGAGTCTGGTTCGAACCCTAAGATAACTCCAGCATATAGAAGGCACTCAGTGAGATAGTTCATAAGAATTTGATTGAGTAATTTGGTGAAGTAAGCCACAGATTTCAGATGAAGGTAGTTGAGGCAGGCTTGATTTGAGCAATGTATAAGCAATTTGTGATATTCAACGCTGGGATAGGTATGAATAGCAGTAAGGAACAAGAAGTAATTATGCTATATGTGAAGAGGGGCAAGAAGAATAGTTGTAGGTAATGCGAGATACATTTCCAAGGTGTTTGTATGGATTCGGCGATGTGATATGAAGAGATGATAAATGAACTTTCGCAATAGAGAAAGCCATTTGACCTAATTCCATTACTACAATAGGAAAGAGGTCAAATACTAAAACGACTAACAAACTCACGTTTGCTATGCCGGTAACATGGAAAGAACGACGTAGATGCCAAAAAAGCCCGAGTGGTCTCTGGTGAAGATCCGAAAGAGCGGTCATGATTATTACGCTCGATACTTGAGATTGTTTTGAGTTCATCATTTCTTATTCCATTTAAGGATCAATGGTGCACTTGAACGATATTATACTTTCGTTGTAGAGTGATTGTAGGAGTAGCATATAGGGATTTGTTTGGTATTTTCGTGGCTTGGTGTGCAGGTGTGATAGCCCATCTGGCTGCTTTAAAGCCACTCCAGTCGCAATGTTAAAGCAGCAGCAACATACTAATGCTCCACTACGACTGCACGCATTCTACAGCTAGACTACCTACCGAGCCTACATCATGATGGTAATGACAATTTCTACTCTCAACGACTCTTATTAGAAGCATGAGAATAGTTAATAAGTGAGAAAGTTTCACTTGCCAATTTACATATGAGATGGCATTCCAAGATCCCGCTTTCCCTACCGTTAACGTTTCTAGATCCAGATGATGGACAGTCAGGCAGTAAGCATCCTACACGACTGATATTCTCAGATATGTTATTTCACTCGGTCATGAGATCACGCGCACGCTGCAAATGGACTGAGGGGGTCCTAGGACTTGATTGAGTTGGGTTGTTGAGACATTGGAGGAGCTATTCGGACACAAAGACAGATGAAGCTCCAACGAAGTTGCCAAACTACCCCGATCTGGATCAAACAACCCTCCAATTTTATTTACGCTGGCAAGCCAGAAGATATCTCGTTCTCGGAGCCCTACGCATTCATTAAATCCTCCCACTTCCTGAAACATTAACTCTCATTAGGCCCAGCTTTATAATTCCTGCAAGGTTCAAACTTTGCAAGTGATATATAATCAAATGCAATTTTGAAGCCGGCAGGAACCATAAATTTGGTGATACAATTATCCAAACTCTTGTTTTATATCAACTGAGAATGGTGCTTTTGCACTATATTTACCCCCCTGATATAGGTATTCCTCCAAATCAACACAAGTCTTCTCTCCATCGTTCGATACAGCCTTCTCTCCAATTTTTAAATCTGCTCTCTCTTCACTCTCTTGACATCTCTGCCGAACTCAGGTTGAATAGGCTCGTCGCATATCCTTTTTGGCCGTCGCCGTTTGCCAATCGGAATGGGTTTGCAAGAGGGGTGAGAGAACCATCACCGTTCCCCAATCCGTTATTTCGGAAAGGGTTTGTAAGTGGTGTAGAAGAACCATCGCGGTTTTCCAATCCATTGTTTCGGAAAGGGTTTGTAAAAGGGGTAGAAGAACCATTGCCATTTACCAATCCGTTGTTTCGGAAAGGGTTTGTGGTAGTGGTAGGAGAACCAAAAGTAAACGCTTGTGGAGCTTGATAGTTGACACTCTGTGCGGCTGGATTAAGGCGTTTTCTTCTCTTGGTATTGCTTCTTGAAGGACCATGAGAGTTTTGAATGCCAGGCAAGACATTACGGAACGACTCATTTGGATATCTCTGACCAGATCCTGCCAAGCCGCTCAACTTTTCCTCAGCTTCGTGTAGTTTTGACTCCGTCTCGCTTACAACTGCTCCTATTCTTAAAAGCTCGTCATTATGTTCATCTTGCAACCTCTTGAATTTCATCTCGTATTCTTCGCGAGCATCACTCAACTTCTGGTCCATCTTAGCATCGATCTGGTCTCCCACTGCTGGAAACATCTCCATCAATTGTGGCAGACTCATTATCTTTGGTAGAATGATTTCATCTTTTGATAGTACAGATTTTGCTTTCTGCTTATCTAGTTCTTTCTTGGCATCCTCAAGCTCATCTTGAAGTTGTGTAATGGCTACGAAATTGAAAATTCCTTGTGTCATTACCGGCAATCGAACTCGTGGTTCAACACTTTCAACAACCACGCCAATTTGTTCACCATTTTCATGGCCTGTAACTCCCATCTCCATTTCGATGTCTGAGTCTTCCAAAAGTTTGGAGCCTCGTCCCTCAATTGATTTCCAGCTAATAGATCCAGGGGGACAAACATCACCAGAAGCTTGCGACTTCGTCAAATGATCAAATGCACATTTGGTGGAAGGATCGACGGGAAGAGGATTGCCTTTGCTTGATGATTCTCCACCGACTTGTTGATCGATCATTTCTCTCGACTTCATTGTCTGGATTGACGGACTCGGACCTCTGTCAAGATTGTTTGGCTCCATTGGTCTTGCAAGTAGTGACTTGTGCGACACTTTCTGCCAAAAAGTATCCTTCTAGCTATGATGAGAAGGATATCTGAATGTGCAATAAACGAACAGTTAAATGCTTGCTTGACCTTGTTATCCGACAAAATATGCCGCACCGTGATATATTTTGTTTGTATATGGTTTTGGAGGTTGGTGGTATTGAAAAAATTGTTTGGCTACAAGCGCAAAAGTCAACACAACAACCTTTACCGAAATGAGGAAAATTTTCAACATATTGAATGAGAACCATTCACCCATGAGCTGAAAAGTTTTTTTTTCTATTTCTTTTCTTTCAGACCGCGAGATACTATTGTTTTCTAAAATAATGTTGATATCAAGAAGGTGAATGTGTGAGGACAAAATACTCCAAATCGAATTTATACTAATTTCAATGATACAAGCTGCTTACCTAGGTATTCGGATGTTTTAAATAATAGACATGATCTGGCCAGGTTTATTAGAGTGCGTAGCACTTATGATTAGGAAATTAGTATATTGCTATGCACGGCATACACATACGCTTTCCGTTCTTTTATCTAGATCTTAGTATTGTCTAAAGCGTGAAGTATTACCCAGAACAGTATCAGGCAGTTTTGCGATACCGGAGAGCGGTGTCTTGTTGATACCGGAAAAGAGATGAACACGAATGCTTTCTCGGAGGAATGAAGCATGCTGTGTTTTATCACCTCTAGCGTAGCTTCCCTTTGATCTTAGGACTACCTGGACTGAATAGACTATCTTTAAAGTCTAATCATGACGGAATTTCTCATAAATGACGCGAAATATCCTAAGGGACCAGCGAAGGAGGTGAATAAGCACCTTCGCGTAGTGAATGTAAGAGGATGAAGTAGTGTTTTTTGACTTCAATATACATGGCAGACAAGGGAAGGTTGGTTTGAGGATATAATGCATTGGGAAATTCCTCAACATGAGAGAATTCATAGAAAAGAATTTCAAATCTAGGAGGGGTTTGAACCATACATTTCATCCAATACAAACTCCAATATCTTGCGAAAGCGAAGTCATCATGCCGCGCTCGTTTGACGCAATCCCTCAAATCTCATTTTAGTTTTAGCCATCTCTAGACTACCTATTGCACCAAGTCAAATTTTCGTGTCCAAATCCAAATCCAACTCCAAATCCAGATCCCAAACCCAAGCCCAAGAAAGTAAACCCTAACAAAACAAACTACAGAAAATAATCACTCTCTCCAACTTCTCCAGGTTACTCTTCTTCTTGCAACCTATTTTCACTTGCGTTAGAACCATGATGCTTGCTGAATAGAATTTGTAGAACTTACTATGTCCTGTACGTTCTTTTCTTAGTGCCTGGGCTTCATCGTCGAGAGTGCTTTCATTGTCTTCGGAAGAGGAAAATGAGAACGTGGAGGAAGAGGAGCTGGTTGGGTTTTAGTAATTTGACGTAAGTGAGAGGTGAAAAATGGAGCATCTACCTCGTACTTCTGAATCGTGTTAAGAGGGTTAATTTAGGTGTTTTCCATGTGACGGCCATTTTGTGATTATAAGTATGGTTGTATTTAGAAATGGGGATTCTCTGAGATTGCGGTAAAGAAAGGAATTTTGACGATAGCGAATGTGTGATGATAAGTCGGTAATGAGATTGACAACAAATTCAGTACTTGAAAGTAGGAAACTCAAAGATGACAGCCCAAGCAGATACTATTGGAGCTTCCCCCCCTTCTTGATGATGAACTCCTATATACCCTCCCAATTCTCTCCCATCCCAATTCCCCATCGGAGATTCCCATCGCCACACCCCACCACACCTTTCCGCCAGCTCGTAAAACCCATTCATTCGGTACTACCAACCCTCATCTAGACCTCCATCCCCTCCAAACTACCGAATCAATACGACTTAAACCTACCCCAGACCCATTACTCAATAACCCTTTCTAAACTCGGATAATAAGCGGTCATCTCAAGTCCTAATTGAGCATGTTGGTTCCCCACACCTTTCCATTCTCGCAGTCATTTTCTGTAACTGGACAGGGAATCGATGCAGAATCTAGACTCTTGCTCGGATGCTTTCGTAAAGGGCCCGGATATGTTATTGCGGTAGACCGGCATTAATCCTGCAGACCATGTGGTGAACCTGGGGTTCAAAAATGGGTTGATAATAGGCGAGGAGGTTTGTTTGTGCGTTGAATAAGCGCCTATATCCCTGAGAAGTGAAATTGAGTCATAGAATATAAAGTTTTTCGTTTCCGCTTCCGCGAATAGGGCTTGGAGGAAGTCATTGATGGGCGGAATGTAACCTTGTTGTGAGAAGGCTGAAGTGGTTTGCCAGCAGCCAATGGAAGGAACATCTGCGTATTTCAGATATCTACATAATTCCATTGGATTAGCGCGATCGCCACTTCACACACATCGAAGAATATTGGCCCAAGGAAATAGACATAGTTTTGAAGAAATTTAATTGCTCTACTGTTATGTTCAATAATTTTGAAAATACAAGCTGTACATAAGGTCATAATTCATAAAGTCATCGCTATAATTTTATCTTCCACGCCCCATTAATATGCTTTTTTATCCCAAAACTTCCTTACGTGCTGCTATTAATCTCTCGCATCCCAGACCAACTCCACATCGCCCTTCTTTTCCCCTCTCAAAACCGCACATCCATCATTGCATTTAGCGACCGCACTCCTCAAATCCTTTCCCATACCATTGGGTCCACTCGCAATGACCCTCGTTCTATATGCATTCCCCGCTCTCTCTTGCATGAAGCTATTAACCACCTGTTTCAAATCAGGATGACAACATTTGCAGCCACCCAGATATGAAACCTTGAACCCCACGGAACCTCCTTCCGAACTCAAACTTGATATCGAGTTTACCATGGCTTTATCATCCATTTCCATGACTGTCTTTTCATCGTTGATAACAGCCTCTTCTGTTTTACCTTCCAGTTCGGGGTCTTCCTCTTGTGTGATGTAGATGTGAATATTAAGATTCATTCCCGTATCCCTTGCTCTCCTTTTTACCTCCTCTAATTCCTCTCGGATCCAGTCTAGACACGAACTCCGTCGCACGATCCAAACAAAATCAATGGCTCGTCCTTCGTGTATTTTTGCATCGCTGGCAGTAGCCGCCAAAACGAGAGGTAGGGTTAATGAAATACCAGTTCCGCCGGCTATAGCTAGAATGTTGGTTGGCTCTTCTGTGGGTTTTAATAACTGTTCTCCGTAAGGACCGCTGAGGATTACAGGAGTAGTGAGTTGACCATCTAAGGCTATCTTTTTGAGGTTTCCGGTTTCACCTGAGCGGCAGCGAATGATGTATGTGTGATGATCTGAGGGTACTGATGCCACAGTTATGGGATGTGATTGCCAGATACTGAGAGCAGGAAAGCAGAGGAAGAAATGTTGTCCAAGAGCCCATGGGGCGTGTTTGTGGTCGAATTCCAAACGAACGACACCACCGTCCTTGTCATCAAAGTACTGAAGGGCTGATTGAGCAGGGTGAAATCCGAGACCTAAATTAATTAACAAGTGAAACCAATCATCAAGGATCAATTTAAATGCTTACCTGCGTTACCACTGGCGTCAAAATATCCAACATGAATTAGCAAAGTTCTTAAGATCCTCACTCCTCGATCAATAAAGAACAATCCAAGAGAGGCAATCATCCAACATTTCAATTGTTGCCAATGGCCCCAACATGCACCAATATATAAACAAGCCACCACATAATGAGTCTTCCTGAAGAACTCGTATCCTGTCCATTGAATAACTCTTCGAATACTGAAAACATATAGGAAGCAAACAAATGATAATGCAAAGCAACCCCAGATGATATAAGGCTCTTTAATGAAAGTGTGCCAGGTAGTCGGTTGAGGTTGGTATAAACGTGCCTCGATAAGTGTCCAGCCAAACGTATGTACAGCGGATTGAATAAAAATGACGCGTCCGATCCAGCGATGTAAAAAGTTGAATGATTGATAAGGAATTCCAGTCGCGAGACTTAGCGCTGATTCCCGAGTGCTAAGGAGCACCGTAAATGGTGTTAATGCATACGCGAATGCTCCTAAACGGTCGGAGAAACCACCGAGGCCGGTTCGGGTATTGAACAGAGTCGATTTTTTGACAGGAGTTATCCATTTTTTGTAAGTCTCTCCAACAAATCTGTCGAACATTATTACTACTGTACAAGACTTTCCTCAAAGGGGCGCAATACTTACGTAAAGATGAGTAAGTAACCTAGCATGATTGCTAGTATCAAAACCTGCAACCTGGTTACATGTCCAAAGAATTTGATAAAGCTTTCTGGAAGGAGATATCGTCGGAAAGCAGCCGTTATTCCACGCCATGCACGATAGTAACAGGATGAATTGCCCGCGCTACTTTGTATCTCTGAGTCTCTAGCTTTGGTAGAAGCTTGTCCTGAAGGTTTTATGAAATGTAGAGTAGTGAGTATAACCAGAATGCCTCCTATTACTGCCCATAAGATAAAAGTGTAGAGCATAGATATATCGTGTGTGTGCTAAAGAATGTCAGTATCAAAATTAAGGATATGGTTCGTACAACCAGAAGGGATGAAAGGTGGTCTGTCGGAAGCGGCATATAATAGAGTTCTGAAAGCAGGGCAACTGGCAAAATGACTTACATAAACAGCATCCAGATATTCACATGAACCAGCATCATTTGTACATGGCAATACACGAGCAGCATATCCCCAATGTGGTTCCATGATTGACGTATTATCCGCCATTTGGATATGGCGAGCTTCAATGACCTCCATGATGTCTTTTAGATACCGGTATTACAAACAAGAAGATAGATTGCCAGCAATGAAGTCGAATATCAAAAGTAAACGATCGAGCTCGAGAAATAGGAAACCTTCAATTATCAACCCATTGCCAAGACATCAGCCAATTGTAATGAGCAAGTTTGAGCTCACCACTACCAAACTGACTCAAATCACCAAATGCACATTATCAGTCCAGATGAAACTTTCACTCGGAAACAATCCCCACAATATTCATCATAGGCTGCAACTGCCAATGAAAAGAAATCTGAGAAGAGGACGGAGAGCTTGCCAAGAGATTAAACTCCACTATCATCTCTAGTAAATGTGACAAACTCGCGCAAATGTGCGCAACTACCACGGATGAAGATAAAAAGCCATTGCTCAACATCTTCCAAAAGTATAATCCGTGCTGTCATATGTTTGACAAGCTGCACAGATCTTGAGAACAATTTGGATTCTAGATCTTTCCAGACCTAGAGCGCGACAGTAATAGTTCTGCAGACAATAACATGCGCGTCCAGTCCAGTTTCTTCATCGCGCTTGGTCGTCGCGCGGGTTCTATATTCAAGGACCTCGGGATGCATTGATGTGGCTGACAAACTTGAAGCGGCAAATCTAGATTCCTTAAAGGAAATTCAATTTCCTTGCTCATCATATCGCTCTTATGCGTTCCTCCTTGACCTCATTGTTGAACGGGAAAACTCTGGAAAGCTGGAACAGGATGTTAGTCAAACGGTAAAAATGAATGTTTTGCGTTGTAGGCTTTTGATCGGCAAGTTTTACACCCGATTTAATAACTCGTTTCCAAAAAAAGAAGCGAATTTTTATGCCTCATCAATTTTATCAAAATGAAAAAATTCAATTTCAATTATTTCTGTATTTATTAATATATCTTCAAATTAAATAAACTTTTTAGAATAATTAATATCTCAATTAAAAAAATTGATATATAGTTTTATAGATATATTAAAGGAATATTTGTAAAATTGAAAGTAATTAGAATATAAAATTCGTTTTTGAGGTTGAAAATTAATATATTTTCAAGCTATTTTTGAAATTTCGTTTCGAAATTTTTAATTCGATTAATAACGAATTAAAACAATTAAAAATTATATCAATAATATAATTCATTATTCTCTATTATTTAATCAAGTTTTCAATTGAATTGGATTACAATTGATAAAGATATTGTAAATTGAAATTGGAAAATCTAACATTTAACATGGTTTATCATCGGGTCGCCAATATCACCGGGTCGCCACTTTTTTATTATTCAATTATTTCAATTTCGTATTATTCAACAACTATTTAATCAATTGATTGAAATTATTAAGGATCTAATAATTTAGGATTTATTATATTATTTTAACAAGTTCTTGAATTATAACCAGTTCTTTTATATATATTATAATATCGATTAGAAAATGCTTTTCCATTAAAATTCCCTCTTTTTTTATGCTCGTTATATTGAATCTGAATATCAACCTTTTGTTGAGATAATATATTAAGAGTCTTTTGTTCAGTAAGCATTTTTTTTTGATATAATTGAATCTTTTTTGTATGTCGATGTTTGCTTAATGCTTCATTTGCTTTTCGAAGTATATGGTTTTCTGTATTCAGAAGTGTATTCTTATGAGCTAATCTCTTTATACTTTTAGCTAAAGCTAGTATAGTTTTGAATATAGATATAGAAGAGTTTGATTGATACTAATCTATTTGAGATTTTATTAAAATTGATTAAGAAAGAGTTTTAATTAGATTATAAAAAATTTGAGAGATTTAAGGATCTGGATTGAAAGGGGGGGAAGTAAATATATAAATTCGAATATTTAACTTTGAGAATACAGCTTCAGGATTAAATGATATCAATTCAGTTCCCCGAAATCTAGTTTTTATATTCTGAGATATAATTGATTGTTGATATATAGCTTTGAAAACTATAAAGAATTCAATCTTAAAGATATAATTGATATATATCTTGATAAATCTATCAATTTGATTATCATATAAATATTTCAGGATACTAAAACATCTAATATCGAATAATTAAGTTAAATAATTTGAATACACTGATAGCTTTATACATACTATATTATTTGCTTTACAATATAATTGAAAAGGTATTGATTTATAACTTTTGTATCCATTCAATACTAATATTTGATATTTGCTCTTTCTTTGATGAATAGTATATTTGTTGAAATGCTTTAATTATTCTAATCCTATTTTATTATTCGTTTATTTATTGGAAATAGGTTTAATAGTCCAATCTACAGAAAGATCGGTTTCAATATATCAATTCGAAAAGTGGATTTGTCCTTGAACTATTAGAAATGAAGGTATAGTTTTATCCTCTTTATTACTATATATAATTGCTGTAGCCTATTCTCGATTGCCTGGCTGTATTACCTTGCTTCTGTCATTTCGTTCAGTACTAGTTATAAACTATACAGGCAACTATAATTTCTATTATAAAGCCTGTTTCATCGAAATTATAAAAATCACAATCTTGAATATTATATTTCGTTTGTATATTCATTACTATTTGAAACTATTTTTTAATAAATTTAGAATCTTTGTAGAGAGCTTTTTGAAAGTTATAAACACAATTAAAATATATCTTTAATTCTGTATAATGCTTTACAAATCAATAAGCCTAAAGCTTTTCAATTTTCTTTACCCTTTGCAATTCAAGAATATGATTTGCTATATCTTTTATATTACTTAATTTAAATATAAACCCTTTATTATCTATATCAATTATATTTTAGACAGAACAGCCGCAGGATCGCCATGAGCGGTACTGAGCGGGGGAACACCAGAGGCAACAAGCCCCTGATTAGCTAACATTACACTACTATGAGCGGCTGGAACGCTAGCGGCCCGTAGGCCCGCTCCTTAGTACGTCTAGAATACCCCTTGGGAGGTCAGATATTAGACGTTAATCACTATAAATAAATAAATAAATAAATAAATATATCAATTATATATTGAAGAAGCATTTTCTCTTCTAATTCAATTATTTTATACTTATTTGCTCGAATTTCTATTTGATTATTTCGACTATTGATTTTATTGTATAGTATAGATCGAGATACTGAATAGATTTTCATAGCTTTTGTAATTATTAAATTTTTTAGATTTTTGAATAGTTTCAATAATTAAAATGATTTGGGCTTCTTTTAATTATATTTCTATAATAATTTATTGAGATATTGTAAATTGGAATTGAAATAGTTGAATAATGAAAAAAGTAGCGACCCGGTGATATTGGCGATCTGATGATAACCGATATCCCTACATCGTGCACGTCCCTGTATCGTGCACGTTTTTAAACTCACCCTACAACAACTTCAATATTTAATAATAAATATATTCAATAAGATATAAAGCTATAAGTTGTCTAAAAGTATAATAAGATATAATAGATTAGAAAAGAAGATTTAAAACTTCCTTATTTAAATCTTGTAGGAATCTTGATCTGTCGGCTTTGTTTCGATTGTATAATCCCTTTCCCTTTTTTTATTATTGATTTATCCATTATTATTATATTAGAGGGCTTTATAGCTTTTTTAGATATTAGATTTATAATATATGAATCTTTTTGAAGCTTTAAATTTCTTTTAATAAAAGATCCTATTGATTTACAAGCTTTTTTAATTTCCTTTTTAATATCTTTTGTAAATTGATAATCCACCTTTTTTATATTACCCTTTCTTTAGCTTCAATCATTTCCTTTTCCTTTTTAGCTTTTTTATTAATCTTTTCCTGTATCTTAGCTTCCTTTTCCTGCTTTATAGCAAGTGTTTTTTCTGATTGGAAAATCTTAGCTTTTTCAATTTGAGAGAGGGAGTATAAAAAAGTATTATTAGTTTTTTTCTCTACAAGATTTAAATACTTAAAACGAGTTCTTTTTTTCTTTTCTATCTTTAGAACCTTTTTTAAACCTTTTACTCTATACAATTGAATATTAGCTTTAATTATATTAGTAAAGGTAACCTTAAAAAGCTTCGAAATAATCTCGAGGTTCTGATTTCATCAAAATTCTAATTTAAATCGATATAGAGCTTTTAATATATATAATGTTTTAAATTTATCCCTTATAAACTGTATTGATATAAATAATATAATAGCTCTTTCTAGCTTTATACTAGATATAATAGTCTTCTTGTTGAATAAATAAATACTCGCTTTTTTGAAGAATTATAGTATATTATAAGAAATCGCAGATTGAGCCTAAGCTACTTTAAAGATAGCCCAAAAGTTGTGTTTCGACATATTAATTAAACCTCTGCTTTTATATATCCAATTATTGAATTCTATACTATAATTTATCGAAAGAAAAAGAAAATAGCCTATATCGAGTAATTATAATCAATATATAAAGTAAAGAAACAAAATCAATAATATAATCTTCAATTTATTACATTTTGATATAAATTCCATATTGATATAACTAGAATAACTATTTACAATCAATAGCCAATATCCTTTACCTACTTTTAAACATATATAGCATTGAAAGACTTTTATAAGTCAATTAAGCCTAAAAGTATTAGATAACTATTCATTATTTAAAGTTCCAAAATAAGCTTGATTTTTTATATTTACTTCATCAACCTATATATCTTATAAATCACCTGATTCTTTTTTATAGATTAAAATAGGTGGTAAAGCTATATTGTTGACAGTTATACATACTAAGAGGATAATAAACTTTCTTGATTCATTTTGTTTAATTTTTATAACTTTATCTCTTTTATATATACTAACACTCATTATCCTCTTCATAGCTCTTTCAAGATTGATTAGGAATCTCTTTTCGTTTTAATTATATATATTTTTTGATGTAATATTATATTTTATAATCACTTTTGCTAATTAAATAGATAAAAAAGAGAGATTAGTAAAAGCTTTTTTAAATAATATAAATCAACAATAATATAAAATAATATCAACAAGATTATAAAAATATTCAAATATATTCATAT